TTTTTTTTTTTTTTTTTTTTTTACCAGCCTGTCCCTGCATTAAGTGAATCAAGACAAAGCACAGTTGTTATGTGGATGGGTGGCTAGTCACAAGATTCTTGAGCATGCAAATAATCAATCATGTAAAATTTTCATGAGTGACAGTTTCTCATATCTCTAAATATGAAAATGTGAAGAGTATTCCGACAAAAGAGAAATCTTTATTAAGCTACCTTGAAATAGTTCTAAGAAGTGTTGATCTGCCTTCATCATGAAATGTTATAATTACAGATTAGGGTATTCATGGTGTCTGCACCTGGCATCACAAAAAAATAAAGATTGAGACAAATAAACAAGGACATGCACAAGTATATTGTCAGTATTAATCTGTTCTCTTAGACAAGAAAAGGACTTGCAATCCACTTTCAAGAAACAAAGCTTGGATAAGTACATTTATTTTATAGTAGATCTATCCCTCAGATCTATCCTTCAGTGTACTCAAATAGGATCAACTGGTCTAGAGGGGACAGCCTGAAGAAAGGTCAGGTTTTGCAGGTTAATTAATAAGATGATTTCTGCGGGACATGCGGCGAGTAATTATGGCAGAAATTAAGTTACCCAAAAAACCTCATGGTAATATTTTGAATACAGTTAAGAAGATTTTATTGAGACTTAAGCTCTCAAGCTGATCCCATGAGAGAAAATTGAACTTTACATTATCCGTATTTCAATTAAAACAGACGTTTCGTGTTAGTTAAAAACACAAAAACACATGCTTTAAGCATTCTTACAAGGTTTGACATTAGGTAAACTTTCTGGAGAATGCTTGAGAATTCAATCACAGGGTCACTTACAGAAATGAACTAAAGTGAGTTGTTTTAAACAGTATTCCCAAAATTAGCGTGCTATGAGTAGATATTTAGTAAATAATTTTTGCACTTATTGCTCGAACTTTGGGCAGAATCTGTCTTAATATCCCCTGTCCACCAAGACTATGAACCATGTTTAAAAGTGAGTGTTGACATATAAAATGGTTTAAGATAATAACATTTATTTAACATTCAGACTCTTCATAGACATTGCTTTCAATTACAATAAATTATGTTCACTTGAGCACATGAGTGACTAAAGGCCAACATAGAACTTACAATGTGTGTGCATCCTGTGCACATATTAAAGGATTCACAATTTTCAAGTTTCTGTCACTGACTTTCATTTTGCTTAAAACTTTCTTTACTAAACTCATTTAGTTGAAAGGGGCTCCCTAGAAGAGATGTATTAAACTATGTGGCTATCCAGAGATATTGCGAGCAAATGCAATGATAGAAGTCACTCAGGAAGGTGAAATGTACGTACCATCTTCCTTCAGAAAAGAGCAGTTATTACAAATGAAACACATAAAACACTTTGAAATTGAATTTACAAGCTAAGATCTACAGGGAGAAAAACATCATTTACATTGTCTAGTGTCCAATTCTAGACTTGAATATTTCAATTGACATCCTCTTAAGTGGTCACTGACTGTCAGAACACAACACAAATGGATTTAAACTCTTTGAGTAAATAAGCCAGCAAGAAAATCCAGCAATCTAGATTACACGTTCAAGAAACTCTGAGACTGCTCAAATTAGACACACTTAAAAGGACCAAAAATAAACAAAATATATACATCACGTATATTCTTCCACTTATGTTGGTATTGCAAACGTGTTGTAAACAGTTTGCATTGTGGTATCTTATTGTAACTATTGTTAATGTACGTTGTGCATGTAATGCAATGTAATAAAAAAAAAACTCTGAGACCACTTGACAAATAAAGAAATACAAATTTTCAACAAGATTTCAAATTAAACTTACTGTGAGTTTCTTGTGTCTGGAATACTTCTGTCTCCACCAAGAGCATCACTGGAAGCCTGATTAAATTGATTTCTGTTATACCTGTCCTCTCCTCCTTCCAATGCCACACCTTTCAGCTCGTATCAGCTTCTTCATTAAAATTATAGTGGCCTCCTCACTTCTTCTTCTTCATGGATATACTAATAAGACATTAATGAATTAATTGAATACCATTGTACTAGCCCTTGGCAATTGGAGTCATGTGAGCAGACCTTTAAAAATACCTTTCGATTATTAGGTACTGGTATAAATAACTAAAACAATTTAGAATCTGAACAGTTCAAGAAAATATCCATGTGAGATCCACGTACAGGGAGAGAGATTCTCAAATGCCACAATTTTGAGGAGAAAAGTAACTGCAATTTACATTGGATTTCCACAGGTATGGAGCAGATACATTATATTCATTGAATACTCCACCTTTCGGGAAAAAAAAAAAAAAAACTGCAACAGAAGCAGAAGGAGCATGATCTAGTTTGAAGTGCCTGATGCTAAAGAGAGAGTCTTGATGAGGTTATTGTGAAAAACAAGGTCACGGAAAAGTTAACTGTAAAGGCAGGCAGCCCTGTTGGTAGTAATACAGAAGGGCTCAGGTGTCATGGGAGGTGTATAAAAGGATTGCTAACATGAAATTTTCAGAGGTGAAACAACACATTGTAAAATTCATGAGAGTAAAAAATAATCATATCATACTCAAGTATTTAATTCTCCTTAATTACAGTACATGTATAAAGTATGTATGAGGACTGGCTGGGAGAATATATATGTTGTAGGTCAAAATGAAATTCAGGTTAAGATGATTTTGACCTGGTTTGACTCTCAATTATCTTTGTCTTCAGACAGTATAATTAGGGTTAAGAGACAAAGGAATTTCATGTTAACCTGGATTTCATTTTGACCTACAACATGTGGATGCTACATTCAGCCCTTTAAAAAGGGTTATTTTAATATTGTGAGGGTATGGCCATACTATACCGTAAAAGCAGTCGTGTCCTGGCCAAAAAGCCTCCTCGTACATTTTCTCTAAGCACAACATGCAAACACAATTTGCCTCTTGGAAATCAAATGACTTCAAAATTTGGTCGACCTCTTCTTTAAATTAAATTGCACATAATTTAGAACCTTAAGATAAATATTAGTGTAATGGTATTGAGAAGTACAAAATTCCTACTTGGCCACAAGGCTGTGTGGTACTTCGTAAAACAATACAGGGCATGTTATAATTAAAAATGGAAGAATTCATAATTGAAGTAACAAACAAACATGTTACTGAAAATTTTTACTGGTACCCAAAATAAACTTGTCAGAACCCCACCTAGCTGGACTGAGGATGAAGCCAAATATAAAGTTCTAGAATAAAGCTAGTTTATATAAACAAACTAACCTACTATTTAGAATCAATTATTTTCAGTTTTTGTTACTGTAAGTAGAAGATGAACACATTCTAGTGAAAGGTACATGTAAACTGAATAAACAAGATGAAGGACTTTTCAGAAAGTCTAAGTGAAAGGCAAATTTCACCAAACATTAACTCATAACAGATTTAAAGTTATTTACTTTTTTGTCAACAGAGATGTAATATTTCAGAGCTGCATGGTATTCAATCACTGATAATATCATGTGTAAAGATCTTAGGAAATTAAGTTTAGTTATATCTGAGCCTATACACCTCAAATTTCCTTCTGAATGATTAATAATGTTTGTGTACTAACATCAATCTGCTGTAGGTAAAAAGATGGCGACTGGTACATTTACCCATAATTCTTAGCACACCGAAACTTAGACAATGCTCATAAAAATGCAAAGAAACATTTTATAACCTTCAAACCTAGAATACACAATGTGGCTAGCAAGAGGAAAAATACCGCAAAAATGTAGCTTTTTTTGTACTTTACGGGCTGTATTAGGCTCGCATGGTATTGNGGGACTGAGCACTAGCCCACCAGCCGAATGTTAAATTCGTGTTGACCGGAGCTGAATGTTGCGGTTTTTTGAATGTTTGTCAAAGCGTTTGGAAGTATCTACGAAAGTCTGTAATGACCCGTTTTAAAGACAGAGCTTAAAAGGAGATAAGATAATATTTCACATCATAGTCGAAAGTAATGGCAAATGAAATTGACACAGATCTTTTTGGCCTTCTTTGTCAATTGGCAACTTTCTCGGAATGGCATAGTCCAAACTTCGGAACGCTGGACTTTCGAGTTACAGAGGATGCCCTTCGCAAGATATTTCCCTGGGAATCGAGTTTTACCAATATACAAAGCGGAAGTTTGGCGGAGAAATTGTATTTACCAAGTTTAAAAGCGGCTGACGAAACCGGAAGTAGTTGGCTGAACTACGAAGCCGATCTTGATGTCATGTTTATACCGCAGAAAGTCGTGATTTGGGATTCAAAAGTTGAAGAAACCGAAGAATCCGGCAAAGATGTTATCTCAAGTGAAATTATCGCCTACATCGAGGATACGGAAACCCCAGGCTACATAAAACTTCGGGTGAATAACTCTTGCAAATCAAAACTACCTGACGAGATACTGGAAAGCGGCGAGGGAAGAGATGTTGTTTACATTTCAAGCTCCAAGTTTAGTGGGTTATTTGGAAAGCACTTAAGCAAGACACAAGAGGCCGGACCGTCGCAGTTCATAGCCTCAGAACACATTCAACATAAGAGTTCATTTGGCATCATGAAATCTGTTGATCTAGTCTTCGCCTTTCGCTGCCCGCAATGGCCGTCCGCTGCAAGGGAATGGGTGAATCGAAAGCGACACTGGCCAACTCCAGAAACCATTCACGGAATAATTCAACAGGGTTGCGCTGCAGTTGCGAAGGGATTTGCAGGTAACATTCAACATTTAAATTGTAATTTTCTTTTAATTATAAGCAGCCTACGCTGTTATTGTTTCGTCTTCTGGTGAATGGTATGCCTCCATTCCAGAGATGGGGCATGGCGTAAGGAAAACGGGACATCGAGTGAAATGCGCGCCTAGGAGAGGTTGAGGAGTACCTCTAGAAACGGGCAATCCCCTTATCCATGTCAAACTAAAGCTGTAAGTACACGATGATTTAAAGAGGGAGGGAGGTAATAATTAACCCAAGGACTCTCGCCCTTTGGGCCTGTTGGTAGAAAAGGCATTCTAACAGTCATACACCTCACCTTATGAAAGCCAGCGGAACAATTGTTTTTTTTAATTCTCATTGATTTCTTTGTTCATGGGTGCAAAACCTTGTTGTTATTACAGAAAGTGCAAGCTCACACCTCGAATGGAGGCTGTCGTTTTCCTTATCTGAAATATTGCTAGCTCGCAGTCTCACCCCAGTGCAAAGACAGTGCTACCTGCTAGTCAAAAGCCTCATCAAAGACCTCAAATGCAATGTCATACCTTCCTACTACATCAAATGCAGCTTCTTTTGGTTATTGGAGGACGCAGAAACTAGTGTCTGGAGAAGCTCAAATCTTGGAAACTGCGTCCTTATGGCATTGAACAAGCTTGCTGAATGCTTGCGTGGCCACTTGCTCCCCAACTACTTCTTGAGACAAGGGAATCTCCTGCAAACGGTTCCCAAGGATTCTTGCGAGGCTATGTCTAACGAACTGATGAAGGTTATTTCAAGTCCTGTCCTAAGCTTTACCAACTCATCAAAAATCATGGAACGCCTGGAGTTAGTGATGAGTGCAGGACCCAGAGAGAAGGGGTGCAACAAGCTGATCGCACTCCTTAGAGAACACGATGGCTCTCCAGAAAAGGAAGGCGAATTGAAAGACTTGCTGAAATTTCACTTTTATAACCTGGCCTTGTCGTTGTTGAATGGTGAGCCAGAAACGGCGCAGAAAGGTTTGGACTACATCCAGTGCGTTGTGGCCATTTTGAAAACTGTGGGAAAGTGTACAAACGCGCTGGAATTACTCTGCAATTATCTTGTCAGTTGTTCTGCACGCGGCGATGACAGACATGCCGCAGCTCGCTTGGTTTCTATGAGAATTCTTGGCTTTTTAGATGACGAAATTCTCTCAGCTCTGCACGATGCCACAGGCAGCAACGAACTGGGTGCTCACCTTTGTCACAATGCTGGGTGCCGGTACCACGTTCAAGCATACGGGGATTCAGATGACGGGTTGACTGTAAATAAAGAGCACCTATCGCATGCAGAGACAATGCTGAAGAAGTCTGTAGATCTTCAGCCAGACAAAGCTAGCCATCATGTCGAGTTAAGCATGTTTTTGTACAGAAACGACCGTTTCGACGAGGCCATTTCGTTCGCTAAACGAGGGGTACAAGAGAGCGCGTCTTCAGAGATGCTCGAGTGTTTGGAATATGACACGAGCGAAGAGATCACCTTGGACGGAAACCTTGGTCATCATGTGCAACAGAATGGGTTTGTACGAGCGCCAGCTTTGGTGTTTGCATATTATGTGCAAGTGGCTTGTTTAGAGGAGTTAAACAGGAAAGAAGAAGCTCTGCAGTTAATGGCCTCTTACAAATCAGCCTGTTCTGATTCTCGCAAAACCGTCTGCGAAGATGACTCGATGGTGCTGTTTCATTTTTCTTGCTTGCTTCTCAAGATGCCAGAAACATAACAACAAGGATATACTGAATAGGCCATTTGCAACAGTTCGTCACGTGACCTCCTTTTCGTAAACAATGATTCAGCCGGTTTTAACAAATAATTTTCCCAGAAATGAAAATAGCGGCTTAAAATAATATGTTGCCATGCGGATTTTCAGACTCGTATCGTTTACGCAGAATTAGTTACGGAGGCCAGTAATTAGAAGGATTTGTATGGAAGGACGACGCTTTGCCACCCGGTCACGCTCCAGTGATCTTTCATCCAAATCCTTATAGTTTTCCAAGTTTTCAAACTGCCGTAAAATTCTTTCCTTGCACTTTGCAAGTCCGAAACTTACCATCCTTGTTAATTTATCCTCACATATTCTACTTCCAATAAGTATAAGAATCCGACTTCTTTTTGTTATTACTGAATTGCGCTTAATTATGGAATATTTCACTGGAGGGCAAACACTTCTCGCTTGTAAACGAAAGTACTGAATTCTCGAGTTTTCAAATGGTCATAACATCTAGATCTCGACCTCTAGTGGTATTCGTCAGATCAATCAATTTATTACAGTGTAATAAAGCAATCAGCAAGCCAGTCAGCCCAGTCCAACAATCAATCAATAAATCAATCAATCAATCAACCATCACTAAATTTGCAAATAATCAATATAAATCAATCAATCAATTTATCAGCTAGCCAATAAATATGTTCAGTTCATTTCTTTAAGACATTTATTATTTTATAAGAATCAGCAATAAAAACAAACAATATTTTGACTGGTCCATGGTCATTTCCAAGTTCAAGTTCGCAGATAAAAAAGACAATAACACAATATTTAATAGATGTACTTTTGCATTGCCACTTTTCTTGACAGACCAGGTTTTGCAACTGCATGGAAAAGAGTAATAAAAAATTCCTCAGTCAAACTGCATTAATACCACTCCTTGAAAACTTACAAGCATATAAATTATATTTGCAAATCAGACAGAGTCTCTCAAGAATTATCAAACTATCACTGTTTATTTAATTAACAAATTTAAATGCTTGCTTTCTTTCTGGAGTCTTTTATTGTTTGCTGACAAACTAACAATGTTTCTGTTGAATTTAGAATGTTGCAATTTCAAATTACATTCATCTGATGTTACAGCAGTAAAAACACAAATAATGTAACGTTGGTCCACACGAGGAATGCTTAAAAAATTTCGGCATGTCAATTATTGCGAAGACGGAGCTAAAAGAGCTCAACATGTTCTAGCTGGCTTTTCAAATTTCCGGTGAATATCGTTCAGTTTCTTTCATCAAGTTCGGAAATGCTTATTTCACTGTGTTTTGTCATAATGTTGTTCTGAAGTTAGGTTTCGAGCCGATAGCTTATTCTCTCTCTCCTCCTTTTTAAAGAATACTCCAGTTTTCCAAGGCTTAAAAATGTATGAATTTGGAATGTCACCAAGCAGTGCTCCATAATACGACATGGCGACGACTTTGGGGTGAACAGATTCTGTTGTGTGAAGGTCAACTTTAATGAAATTGTTGTGGTAATTTAACGCATCTCCTTCATTTCTCTCTTTCCCTTTATCATTTATGCTGCCACTATCTCTGCTCATTTCATCGCCATCTCCTGAGACATTTTCTCCACTTTCTATACTTTGGTGCCCTGATTCAGAGTCTTCGCTGTAAACTTCCTCAGGGTTCAACCCAAGCTTTATCAGCAGATACGCTTTGATGGCGTAAACACCTTCAGCAATCACAGATTGTGGAGGCTCTTCCAGCAGATTATCAGATAAGTTCAGTCCTGTCAAGGTTTTCAACAATCCTATTTCCGCAGGTAAAAATGTGAGCTGATTTCTCCCTAGCAACAGTGTCTTTAAATTCTTGTGCTCTCCAATGTTTTTAGGGATTTCACAAAGTCTGTTGTTCCTGAGATCGAACCATTCTAAACTGGCTACACAAACAAAGAAATCTTCAGGTAGAGATGAAATCCTGTTGCCTTCAAGATAGAGGTATTTCAGACTGGAGAGTTTGAGTTGATGCAATCCACTTGGAATCTGTTCAATGCTTTTCCTGTTTAAATCCAAAACATCTAATGTTTTCTTTGCTGCAGTTTCAAAGGCTTTTCTGGTTATGTTGCAGTCGTTTGAAAAGTCGCCCATAGTGTCTGATCGTGGAGATTTGTTTCATCTAACTATAGGAAAGCATATAATTTCATAGCAACAGTTTCTAGCAACAAACAATGAGCTTCATTGAACTTAAGTTAAACCTTTGCTGTATCAATTATTTATTACTGTTTGAGATGAATATTTTATTTGGCAATGCTGCAGTATGGTTGCACACTAATTTATAATTCTAAAATAAAAGACTAAAAGATACAGTGTATAATAAAATGGAAAAAAAATTCTTCTATGTTGGAAATATCAATTCTGTCAAATAAATATTTCTAAACACCAAAAAATATAATTTATCTATAGCTAAGGCTATGAAATCAATACTTAGACAATATAACCTGTAATTACTGCCTTCCCAACATACAAAAATCTACATTTCTCAATGACAGTAAATGAAACACTTAAATGGATCAAGGATGGACAAGTAATACTGAAGAAACCTTTCAAGAATCTACCCATATCACGTACTGCAATTGCAAAAATACAACAAGGTCATTTAATTGATAATGAAAAAATTTGTTATTATTGTGGGGCAAAAATTGGCTGATTATTTTTAACAGTGTTTGTAATAATTTATTCTGAAAATAACACAAATCACTCAAGCATTCACACATGATTGACATCCTTCACAATGACATCTAATTTGAGATGTAATCGATATTTTACAGAATACTGATCTGTGGACTCTACATTCAAAACCATACAAATGTATGAAATTATAAACAGCGGATTAGAGCAAACAAGCCAGTCGAACTGTATGCTGTATTCAATAGACTACCACATAAGAAATAAAGTAATGATTATGAAACAAGCTATTCTTTTTAAAATGATGATATTATGCCATGTAATAAGTAATGGTAATAGGACTGAGTGGAGTACAATTCAGGGAGTAATCAGGCAATTAAGTGATTTCAAATTGGCTGAGTGCGTAGCGTGAGGCTGATTTGAAATTACGAGCACGATTACCCCTGAATTACCAATTAATAGTGTCAATAACAAAATGCAAGAAACTCAGGAATCAAAGATTTAAATGCAAGAGCACATACGATTCTTCTATCTGAATAAAAGTCATTGGACCAGTTAATTTCATCCATGTTTGATTTGCATCTGGATCTTTCAGCCTGTTCACTTGTGAAATGTTCCTTGGTTTTGATTGGCTAACATAGGCTAGGTAATTATTATTAGCTAACTGGCATGAAGTGCTTAATTTTTATTGGCTGCTTAACGCGTTTTTTTAAGGATAGCAGTGCTTTTTTCCAAACTTCAGTTGTAAAACACAGATAATTCGTTGCATCGTATAAATGTCCCAACGACTTTTTGTTCACGATTGCGTGTAGTTGTCCATGTCAAAACCGCCTGGTTTTAGATTCTTTCATTCGATCAGGTTGAGGCCAAAACTATCCTAAAACAATTCATATTTAGATTGATTTTAAATTTGTCTTTGCCAGGTGGACCTGCTGGGGGCAACATTTTAGCGGAAACGACCAACGCACGAGGGGAAAGCCAGGATTATAGGTATGGCGTAAATGAGTCGCCTCTTATGTTTTCGGTTATGTTTAGCGTGTGTTGCGCATAAGGTTTATTTAAACATTTCAAATGCTCAACTTAACGACCCATGCTTTATGTCTACATATTTTTTTTTTAAATCTGGAAGACTGAGAGCCAATGACACATTTTGGGAATTCTATTAATGCAGTCATTACATTGTATTCGGTATTGAATCAGTGAGATATATACAATAAGTGTTGCAAATTTTACTGATTTCTTATTCTTGTAACACATCTAGTTTATCATGCCATTGTAATAAATGGTTATTCTCTGGAACAGCCCCTTTGGCTTTTCCTCTTTTTCACCCATTTTCTACCGAAGCGTTTTAAGTTTCCCGTTTCTGCAGTGCTAGTTCACTCCACGCATTTGTTAATTTTTCATTCTTTTTCTCAGCCCATTTGTTCCTCAACATCCGCATGAAAAAATTCTACAAAAGAATTCTACAAAACCACATGGCCTACAGGCCCTGTTTCTGTTGGTCGCTCGGACCATCCAAAACGAGCCAGGCTGTAATCACTATAATTTTTTTTCCCCAAACAATTGACAATGTACACGGAAAACAAAAGGATGTAGGCGTGAAATAAATGTTCCTTGCGCGTTGAGGCAAAATGTCGGACCTCTGAGTCGAAATGTTCTTCCAACTCTATATTAATATCAACACTCTTCACATTGCTTACACTTCTCCTCCACTGACCTCACTCTCTTCGTACATTACTTTGACGGCTTTTTCATCGCCAACACCCACTGTTACACTAAAACCTCTAGTTCTATGCCTACACGCTGTGGCTTTCAAGGCGAATGACAATTCTAATTGTATTCGCATAGGTGATTACGTGATCAGTTGAGGTATCGTTATCTAACTGTGGGAAATGAAAAAATTAGCATTGGGCATTTCCTATTTCATAGTAAATTTCGTCTTCTTGATTATTATTTCCACGTTTAATTCCCGCATTGTAATATGCAGAGGACGTTACTGCGTCCTGTAGTGACTGATAATTTTGAGTTGCGTGTGGCAGCTCTTCCAAAGGTATAGGTTTGAGTTCCATATATGAAAGTTCTTCTGGTACATACTGGTCACGTGTTGAGTCATGCTGCTTGACTTCATCAGAGGTGTCCCTCCGTGGCGTCTTTTCTCTGTTGTTATTCACAGCTCGTCTAAGGCGCCATGTCAGCAGGCTAACTGCAATAAGCAGCACCAAAACAAGGCAGGACAAAGCGATGACAATAATACGGTAGATATTGGAAAAACCTGTTAGACGTTTAGAAAAAGGAGAGAGAAAAACATAAAGAGTTTTGTCATGAGTTTCGCAGGTTGGCCACAGATCACGAATATTCTGGGGAAAAGCTTTTTCCTCTTGAAGAAAAGAGAGGGAAAATTGAAATTATTTAACACGGCTGATTAAACCCCATTGAAGGGTGGAAAAAAAAATTGGGGTCACTTGATAAAAGGAAAATGTATTGAAAACTTATCAGCCTTATGACGGCTGTCATGGGAGGTTATTAGAAGCCGCTACTTTGTCTGGCATTGTGTGTCACGTGCTGCATCCACCATACATCAACAACCAGTGGCCAGCCAAGGTTATCCAGGTATTTGTACCATGGCATTACAATGCAAACAAACAAATAAACAAACAGACAATCAAGCAAAATGCACTCACTGTCCTCTCCCTTGGTAGTTGCTTTAGTTGCTGACTTTCGGTATTCAGTTAAGGTTATTTCGCAGGTTGTACTACCAAAGCTGTTTGAAGCGTTGCACACGTACACCCCATAATCCTGCGCACTGCCAGGAGTGACGAAAATCATGTTGTTGTTTATGACCTTGATGTCGTCATTAATTGGATCCTGTCCATTCTTTGTCCACGAGTAGGTAACTGGAGAATCACTGGTTGCGTAGCAACAAAGACAACACAGCGTGTATTTTTCACATATTACGGAAGTTGGTGAAACGTGGTTCAGTATTCTAGGTGGCACTATATGTAGATTACAAAAAAGGAAATCATACTTGGTTCAATTACTTTATACCCACAACTACGACACCATATCTGGGCTTCGCTAAATCTATACATTGCAAAGTGAAAAAAACAATGATTAAATGAATAGATTGGCTCGTATTTAGTAGTCGTGCAGCTGCTACATAATCCTGCGCTACAGACGCATTCTTTGCACTTCTAAGTTTTACACTTCTATCACACAGCACATATTTTACACATCGGGCTCAGATTCTTAGTGATTTGAGGTTAATCACGCCATACTCTTTTTCGCAGCTCAATCAAAGATTGTCAGTTCTAAGCACTTAATTGATATTTACTAATAAGAAAAATATTGTAAAAAAAGACTTTTCTATAGGCCACTCTATTCAAGTTAATAAATAGATACTGAGGCAAAATAATTCACTCACCAGATGTGACTGATGGTATCACTGTAGTCACGTTAATCCTAGGAGGTCCTAACAAAAAAAAGATACAAAGTGCATCGTAGAAAGAAGAAAAAAATGAGCACTTTATCACATTTATCAGTTCCTTAGTATTGCATTGTGCATCCCTACTGAGCACGATTTTCGCGTCATTAGCGCGCGCACATAGGCGCGTGCGCGTACAAAACTTAAGACGTTTCCCTCAAACTAAGCTCGATAGCAAAATAAATGCTCGTTTTCTCTTAAACGAGCACGGTGACCCCCACCTTTCATTTCATAACTTCAATGAGAACAATATCCTCAATAACTGAGAAAAAATGAGTAGAAATCTATGGCCACTTTTTTGGCAAATGAAATAAATACTACAGAGGGAGACATAACGGGCCCAACAGCGCATGCCCAAAATATGTTTCCCTTAAAGGATAGAAATGCAGGGTATTTGAAGACATTTTTTCTGGGACGTAGGTGAATAAACAATCAAAGAAAGTCAAACTTTGTGTGATATAACACGCTGCATTGCAAAATAATAGAGCTTATTTGTTGCGTACGGAGATTACCAAAAGTCACCTAAATAACCGTATTTGTCAGCATTGTGGCGTGAGAGCAAGCACGGTGACCCCCTCTTTTTACTACGTTTTTAATATCTCCTTGTCCTGTGACAACAACAGTTTCATGGGAAATTTATAGCGGGTTCTTTTACTAGGGAATCACCTTAAGCAAAACGCTCAGTATAGGTTGTCATAGTCGAGTGACTGTACTCTCCTTCAAAGCAAATGCTCTGGATCCCCATGTGGTTGCTTCAAACCGACATACGTTCCTTTGAAGATATGATTGATCATCGCAGTTGTA